ACCAATACACAGCAAAGGCCTCAATTCAGGGTAACCATACTCCCTCAGTGGTTCTAAAAATTGTTCGATAACTTCATATGTCTGTCTAGCCAGCTCTCTAGACGGACAGATAATCCAGCCAAATGGTCCTTCCCCGGGAGCAATAGGCATCATAACTTCTTCCTGCAAAGCCACCATAATAAGTGGCAAGACAAAAACCAATGTTTTACCAGAGCCTGTAAAAGCTATACCTATCATATCGCGACCTGATAAAATAATAGGAAGGCCCTGCACTTGAATTGGTGTGGGCTGAACAATCCCTCTCGCTTTAAGTTTCTTCAAAATGGGCTCAGGGAACCTCATGTCCTTGAAATTCTTTATTGGTGGAGGAACATCTTCGCCATCCACAATAATATGCCACTGCTTTCGGATTACATCACATGCTTTCTTTGACATTCTTCTGATGGCGAATGGCAGCTTCCAACCAGTGAACAAAGGCTCCGTATAAGTAATCCCCTTAGCTAGTGCATGAACGGACATCAAAGTCTTTCGATCAGATAAATGCTCAATCATCTCCTTCTCTTGCAGGACTACTTATTCAGTTGGACTAATCTCAGGTTGCTCTTTCTTCAGCTGAGTGGCCTTCACAAGCAAACTCGGCTTAGCCTCAACAAGCTTCAATTTTTCCGCTTCCTCTTCCAAAACTGAAGATTTTCTCTTGCGCTGAAGGATCTTTTGCGCCTCAATTGCTCGACGCTTTACAATAGGTACATATTCAACATAATCATCCTCATCCTCCATCTCCTGCAACAACAACAAGGATGTGTTAACACATCTGAAGTAGCACTTGAATCTTATTTAACACTCTAACACGGTAATCATCAGTGACATTGTGAAAAAATGAAGGACCCAAGCACAGTTTATAAAGCTATCATTAACAGCAAAGCAAAACCAACTACAGCGAATCATAAGTCATAACCAAAAGTAAATGTTGAATCAATAGTACAATCTGCTAAAACCCAATAAAACGCTTCGGAGAATCGAATCAATTGCAATAAAATTTCCAATTTTAAATTATCACAGAATGGTGAAAGGGAAAATTTGAACCGAAAGAGAAATGAGGAATGTGCATGCCATATTTACGTGGTCTGCCAATGAGCTGTACCCTATGAAGATGCAGAGAAACTGATTTTTTGTAATACTCCTAGAAGAGTCCAGAGAGCTAATTCCCCGCGACTCCTATTCGGTTGGGTTTTTAAATCTCATGGGTCGGATTTTGGATATGGTATTTGTTGGAAAAAATAAAAAAATAGTGAGATTTACAACTGGTAATTTAAAAATAGCCACAGTTTCAAAAATAATCAAAATTTAGTCATTTTTTCATGTAAAGATAAAATTTGAATAAAAATATCCTTAAAATCCGAAAAAATTCCAGCATAATTCGATTTTTTTACATATGAGATTCCAACATAATGTGCTGGAATATCCTGCATATTATGCTAGAACTTTCGTGTGCTAGAGTTTCAAAATAATATGCTGGAAGTTTATATGCATGAGCTCCATAATCCAGCATATAATGCTGAAACTTTCCGTGTTTCAGCAAAATAGTGGCTATTTTTCAGTGACTTTGCAAACCTGGTTATTTTTCAATTATCAGTCCGAAAATTGGCTAGCCCGTGATATTTTTACGGTATTTATGGCTGATTTACGCAAATGTCCTTTTTTAGGCTACTCTTTTAATTTTGTCCTTATTTTAAGAAGTTGTGCAAATATAGCCTTTATCGAAAAACTTTAGACTCGTTCTAAAAATGGATCATATAGTTTTCAATTTTCTCATAAAATATTATACTATGGTTTAACATTTGCAATAACTTACAAAAGTTTAGATGGTCTAACATTTATGCATAAGATTTTTAATTTGAATGATATTCTATAAAATAAAATAAAAATTAAGTGATTTTGTGGCTAGAATTTTTTTTTTGATAATTTTACCGCGATCATACTACAAAGTTAAATGACCACCTACAAAATTGACCCTCCCTAAAATAAAAAGATTTATCCACATTTTTTCTTGTTTAGTTTATCTGGCCAGTAATTTAATGGATGGGGGCGCAACAAGGCAAACCGACTAACTATGTATTTAATTTCTCGTATTTCATCCTATCATTAGAACTGAATAGTGAAGACATTATATTTCTTTTCCCACCACACCAAACAAATAAAAATCCCTCACCAACCCCCCCCCCCCC